TATACACCAACATATGAATATCCGGTCCGTTTTCTTCGCTAAACCCATATTCTGCTATTGAGGAGAGGTGATCATCTGAGAGGAGCTGTAGGCAGTTGGTAATATTTGTCGTTAACTATACTGGTTTTTTTTTGGTTCCAAAAAAATTGTGAACTATCGGTTTGGGTTATGGATATCATAAATTCAAACTGATTGGACCTATATTTGAATGTTTTTCTAACCTTTATTTCTTTATTTTTTTCTTATTATTTTTGTTGCCGTTGTTTTTGCTGTGACTGCTGTATTAATTATGTTTCGCGCAATTAATCATTGTTGTTGTTTTTCTGTCTTTATCTGAATCTTTGATACATTCAGCTTTTTTTTTTTTGCTCACTATTTCTGAACTGCCTATTTTTCTTTCTTTTCTTTTTTTTATCTTTAACATTCTTTTGTTAACTTTATAGATGTTTTATCGTTGTTTGTTGATATTCAAATAGCAGCATGAGCAGCACTTTTTTTTTCTTTAACGCTTCGCAGTTTACTGTTAATAATCGGTCCTATGTTCAATGAACATCAAAAATGACATCAGTGAAGATTAAAATCGCTTGATTAGTAGCCACCGACGTTATTTCTGTTTTAGGTGAACAAGAACTTGGAAGTACTTGACACTAATGACAGCCTTTCGATGGTTACCGGTATTGGTACGTTCATCCTTAGAATATAAATCGACAAATTTTCATTGTAATTCATTTTGGAACTTTTATTCGACAGTTTGTTACACTTTGGTACAAAGAAGAAAAGAAGCCACTTTCTCTTCCTTCTGTGTAGCTTTTCACTTTTAAAACTTATTGTTTACTATTTTAAGACTCTACTGATCGCCATCTATAGATGTCATTTGGTTGCTACCAATCTAAGCCATGTAAATGAATTAAAGGATTATAAGGAATTCAAGGTTTGCTTAACTGTTTTTCTAGTCTTCAGAAGACAGTAAATTGTTGCAAGATTCTTCTTTTTTTGTTCTGCCATCGAAACCACATTGCTTAAAAGCTTCTTTCTCTTGTCAGTTGCACTAGAAGCCGAACAAATGGGAGGAAAAAAGTCCTAACAAGAAAGACTTACTTGCTTTGTTTCATTTAGCTGGCATAGCACTAGTGTTCTTGCATCTCCTATTTTGAGTGTTGTCGTTGAATTTTATGTCCATCGTTGCCCATCAATGTTAAGGTCCTTGCTGTTAAACAAGCGTTCAAGTTAAAATAGTTTTTCTTTTAGAAAATATTAAGAACAAGAACTAATGTACTTGTTATGTTCGTCAGTGGAGTTGATCGAGTGAAACCGACACTTACAGTTGTGTCTGAAGCAGCAGCAATGGCTCAAGGAATCGGGACTGTTGTCCTTGTCGATTGCAGTGAGGGGGATGGAAAAAAATTGTGCAAGAAGCTAAAGTTCACGCCAAAGACTTTCTTATTAAAACATTATCAGTAAGTACTGATCGAATCATTACAAAATCTGATACTAAATTTTAAGTTCTTGGTGTCAAGTTTTTCACACTATACTTTCATAGAAATTTTGTCGTGATTTGACTGTACTATGTAAAAACCTAAGAATGTTATTTATAGCAATGGAGAATTTCACAAAGACTACGACAGACAGTTGGTGGCAAAAAGCATTTACCGATTTCTAAAGGATCCAACAGGCGACATTCCTTGGGACGAAGATCCAACTGCTGTTGATGTCGCTCACCTTGGTTTGTGATCATTTGATAAAGAAGAATTTAAAAAACGGCTTAGTTGTTTCACGTTTGAATCTGAGAGGTTGATTGTAAGGGAACTTATGAATCTTTGTAGCGAACAAAGCTGAGTTGCGAAAGTTGGTTGCTTCAGAAAAGCGGGCGTTAGTGTTGTTTTACACACCATGGTGTGGTTATTGCAAACGGCTTAAACCGCAGTTCAGGTGGCTTTCATTATTAACTTATTTGTTCAGCATATATCGCTCGGTCTTTTCACCACACAGAGTGGCAAAGCAGTATTTTAAGTAGGGAGTCGGTCTTACTGTGACTTCTTCTCAAGAATCTTATAGTATTATAGTGGAAAGTAATTCGAAAACAAAGACACATGGATTATAGTGAGATTAAGCTGTTTTCTTAGAGGGTGCGTCATTTACATCATCAGCTTTATTTTTAGTCTTTTGGCTTCTGAAATTAAAAAAAAGGTGGCATTAGCTGGTATGGATCTTACACAAGAGGGTAATGATGAAGTTGGAAGGATGTATGAGATTGAGAGGTACCCAACTATGGAATATTTTGAGGCTGGCAAGCATAAGTTCCGTTATCCTGGCGAGAATACAAAGGTACTGAGAGTTCCAAATGTTTAAGGTTTTAACTTGTAAATTTTTTGCCTTGATAAAAGGCTGCATGAGAAGACTGTCAATTTATGTAATTACTGAAAGGTTTGAAAGGTTCTCCTGTTAAGGAAAGGTAGCAAGTTTAAACGTATTGTTTCTAAGGAAGCTATTGCGGCATGGTTAGAGAATCCGACAGCAAAACTTGTTTCGGAGGAACAAAACGACGGTGAGAGCGCTTGGTCTGAAGTACCTTCTGAGGTAACGCATCTGACGGACAAAAGTTTCAGTGGCTTTATCGCCGAAAGAAAGAGTGTGTTGGTCATGTTTTACGCACCGTGTAAGTTTTTGTCTCCCTAGCCACATGATGCCTGTATTATTTTTGTCTTCAGTTTTGAAGCACTATGAAAATGTGTCTTCGTTTTCGAATTATTTTCTTAATTAGATGAATTTAGGGTGTGGACACTGTAAAAAGGCGAAACCCCTATATATGGCTGCAGCGAAGCGGTTAAAGGACGATGGCGTCAATGGATTTCTAGCTGCTGTTGATGCTACAGTTAATGCGTAAAGACTTCAGCTTGTCCAACTTATAATACACTTTCATAACAGGCCTTTAAATGGGTGGAGGGGACAAATAAATTACACAATTACTGTGCTTTTAGTGTTGTCTTTTTCTAGTTGTTCATTCATTCACTCTTTATTATAGGAATCTTGCTACTGAATACAATATAGAGGAATACCCGACATTCTGTTACTTTAAGAATGGAAAATTTGCTTGGAAAGTTAATGAATATACCGAAGAAGGGTTTTACAAATATATGAAAAAGTTCGTTTTCCTCAAAGATCGTAGACAGAAGTGGCTCTTATAAAATGGCTCTTGCTAAGTGTGAATTTTTCAGTCCCGTTGAGCCTCCACCTCCAGAATTACCGTGGAAAGAACAGCCGGGGCATGTATTACACTTGAGTGCAGAAAACTTCAAATCAGACCTCAAGAAGAAGAAGAGCTCTCTGGTTATGTTCTACGCCCCATGTAAGCAACTACATGAAGAGAGGAGAAAGTTGGAGATTTTCTGCATACTTTATTTGATTTTTAGGGTGTGGGCACTGTAGGAAAGTGAAACCCTTGTTTACGGAAGCTGCTGAAAAGGTCGCTGAAGACGAGAGGGTTGGGTTCGCAGCTGTTGACTGCACAACAGAAACTTCACTTTGCAACGAATACGAAGTCAAAGTGAAAAAAATTTTTGATAAAATCTTCTCTTAACCTTTTGAAGAGCTACTATTTTCCAGACCTAGAGTTTTATGCAGTTAATCTGTTCATTTTTCTTTTCATTACAAATGAATCTGTAGAGATATTTTTGCAGTATTAGCGCTACGGGAATTATCCACAGTTTATGCACCAGATACATTTTTGACTAATTGTTTTAATATCTTTGCAGTTAGATTCTAATTAATAGTTCTTTATACTTGCTTCCATCAAAAAAATTCAAATAAATTGTGTTTCAGGGATATCCCACCATCATTCATTTCTCGTATGGAAAAAACCCTGTACGTTACACCAGTGGATACGATGTCAATTCTTTCGTGAACGTCGTTAAAGTCGGAAAACAGAAGACAGAGTTATAGAAACTGTGGTACCCGTATCCAAATCCAACAACGGCGCTAGCTGTGGTTTTAATAATTAATTCAATATGAGAGGGCAAGGACTACCTCGAACAAAAGTCATGAAGTTCAGGACTTTTCTTTTGCAAGTCGCAAGTTTTCTGAGCTCCAGAGTTCTTACAGCGTGGTCCTGAGCTGTAATTCCCTTAGGTTTATGGTTGAATCTCGTTGTTGTTATACTTGCTTCGTGTTTTACTTGTTTTTGATGGTTATTTTACTTCTCTTTCTTGAGATTCGTTAATTTTTTTGCTCAACTAATCTGGGGTTTTTTGGTTACTTACGTGCCTTATTTTCTTAATTCTGTTCCGTTCTGTGATCCAAAACTAACCTTTAGGTTGTTTTAACTGTTGTTTTAAGTGTTAATTGTTGTTTTTAATGGATTCATAACTTATTAGTACCAAGCATTACAATACTCCCCCACTCGGGGGCACGCTCAATAAATTCAATTTTTAAAAAGAATGGCTGCCTTTCAGCGGTCAAAAGCTTGAGAATTTGATGGAACCGTAACTTTTAATGCAAATCTCTATTTAAGCAGCTAGCCGGGTGGGTGGGTACGAGTTATAGAGAAGAGAAGAAATAAAGGAAGGCGAAAGTGACATCAACGATAATATATTGGAGAGAAAGGGAATAGGGTATTAACATTACGCTCCACATGAATAACAGAACTCAGTTGAAAAAGAGTTGGGAACAACGCAACGGACTGACTTTCAGTACCACAACATGTTTCAAATTAACATAAAGTTTGATTTTTTAAGGCTACATTACAGTAAGAGGAGCTTTTCTAACTAGAGTACTTTTACAGGAAGAAAATTATATCCGTTAGGGAAGCAACTTCCTATCACAAATGAGATCGAAACTTGGGTAAAAGGAATTGGGGTTTGCCCATTTACTATAACTTCCTGAACCTCTCTTGTACGAACAACATTTGGGCCAGAGAGGGACCAAATAGGCGTTAATATAATATAATGTACAAAATAACAAAAACAGCCTTATAAACAAAATGTTAGTTTTACAGCGAAGACGGTACCAAACAAGGCTCAAAATTCGCGAGAGCTTCCACGGCTGTCGAACAAGCTCGATAGATAACAGTATCGATCTGCAAAAAGACTGTATGTAACAAACACGTAGGTGCTTACCAAAAGGGAAAATACCTGTTTCTTTGCGACTTTGACCGATTGAAATTTCTCGAAATGGCTGTAGAAGTACTTACTCTAATTAAATCATTTCCGTGCTTCAGCCTCCGAAGATCATCCGATATTTTAACAACATATTCAACACCCTCAACGGCTACAAAGTCCTCGGCAATCTTTAAAGAGATAACAGTTTTGTCGGCAAAATATTGAACCATTAAACTGGAGCCCCAGATATACTTTTCAAATTAAAATAAAAGCTCGAGTACCATGCCACTAACTGGCTATTTATTTAACCGAAAAAAAAAATATTTTTTCCGAAAACAAGATCAACTCACTTTTATACAAGAGTTCAAGTTTTGAACTTGATGAGCTGAACCAGATGGGACAAATACTACATCTCCCTCGCACTGAATGAACTGATAACAGCTGACACCTGTACTGTGCCGGTTATTTATAAAGCAGTCAGTCACGAAAGTATTTACAGAAAATGTAAAAAGTAGTTTAACAACTATTTAATCTCAAAACCTCTTTGCTTCAGGAAAGACTGAAATTCTGGAGTAATCACGACGTCTTGATTATGTATAACATCTCCATCGAACTTTTCTCCCTAAAATGCCAATCTTTACAGGAAATATGCAAATTCGAAGTTTGAGTACAACCGTGATACTTAGAGGAACCTTCCTTCTGTTTCCACAATTATTATTAAATAGTCTTATAACTATGAATACCATTTGCTGAAGATACCTTTAAAACAAAAGCAAACTGAAAAATAAAAAAAGTATGTCTGACATTTTGACGCTTCCAATCAACTATAGAATTTCGTAAAAGAAGTGTATCATCTGGCTTAAAAACTTTCCAAAGAGCTCCAGCTTTATCAGGTCGTTTTAAAGCCCGTTCCTTCTCACTTTCAGACACACCCTCAGAGTCAAGACGTTCTGTTATTACTGCAAAAATCGCAACTTTTTTGTGCGGGGTGGAAAAGCAGTATTTTAATGCCTTCCTTTAAAAAATGGTTTAAGATAATGGAGGAACTTCTACAAAACAATAAAAGAAGTTTGTCAAGCCGAAAAAAGTTAGCACATAACTTCCACAACGCAAAAAAAACCTTTGCACAAATCTCCACGAGATAATTCTTTTGGAGGCTGGACGACAGCCAGAAAGTTAAGGGAGTCGGAAACGTCTAGATGTAAAGGTGTCGAAGCGAGATGAGGGGTGGCGCACAAACCTATAAAGATCACTTAAGTGCCTCAAGAAAAGACGGCCAAATCTAAAGAGGAAATTGTGAAGAACTACCAAAAATAAAAAAAACAGAAAATAGGAGCCAAAACTAGAATGGTGACAAATAATGAACGTTTTACCTACTCCAACATAAGCCTTTGGTCCAGGATCAACTAAATTCTCTTGCTCTTCAAATACGTTCAGCAAATTCAGCTTTCCAGTTCCATCATCTTTCAAACTGATTTGCGTGTAATCAAGAAACGGCAAAATATTAAAATAATTTGTGTACTGTTGAGGAGCCACTTTTGCAAACATCGTCGTTTCTGGGAAATCTTTGATCTACAATAAATCTGTATAGAAACTAATGTAAAGAAATGAGACGAGAACGCGTTGCACCAATAAAGTTACTGCACGAGTTCCCCTATACTGTATTTAGCTCAAAACTCTAAAGCAGCAACCACGAACTTTCAAATATGGCTCCCCGTCAATGTGTTTTGAGTCAAATTTTTTCCAAAATTGTGATAATGTACAAGCTTTTCCGTCCAAATATGCCTGATTTAACGTCTGACAGTCCAAAATACGAATCTTCTTCTGACCTTAAAAAGAAAAAAAATACTGTGAAACTGAAAAAATGAGTGGCGACGATAAGGAGAGTGTTAAATGTACCAGTTAGTCCGCACATAAAACAAGCTTTTCTTTTAATCTCTAATAGACCTCCTTTACTCCTAACTAGCTACTGATATACACTCACGAAACGCTAAATGGAATTAGAATAAATAGTGACTGAAAATAGATCACAACAAATTCTGCGACTAACGCACCTTACGGAAATAATGCTTCATATGTGAAGCTTATAATGATAGCAACAATAGTAGCAATACTAATTCCGACAACAGTAAAGATAAATTCTGAAAAACCGAAACACACTTGAAATGACTTTTTCCAAAGCTTCACGACTCCAAACTGCGGGATAAAAATCTGGATGTTCGTTAACATTTTCCACAACAATCGGTACATGAGAAGCCAAATGAGTTTTAAATTCAGATATTGCGTTTGGATCACGCTGGAATGGACAGGAAATAGTAAGGCACAATGAAAAGTTAGTACTAAAAAGTTAGTGAGAAAAATGTATACAGTGTCTTTTATCCTGCATATAAGTCCATCGGATGCTTGTATATCAACACATTGTCTGGGACAGTAACATTTCTCCTATAAAAATGAGGTTTGAAGAATGGAATACTATCAAGGAGAAAGTATCTTAAAAAACAGACCTCTTGAAAATATCTCCTGCCATGATTTCCATTACACATTGGCCCCCCAGAATATATACCATAACGTTTAAACTGTTCGTCGGCCTTTTTTAACACATTTCTGTATATATCTCAAAAGAAAACTGTCAATTTCAGCTACAATATTCCCAACAAAAAAAAAATTGAGGAACTACTGAAAAAATTTCAAAAGGTCAAGATAATCTTTTGATTTATTGACAAAATGAAATGATTACCAAGAACTGGCAAAAATGAGCCAAGATGAAACATGGACGCAATATGTTCAACGCCGTCTAAGCAGAAAAGACGTTTAAGCCATTTTGGAAATGGACCAGCTTAAAAATTAATCAAAAACAACGTAAAAGTCGAAATAAGGCTGATCATTCGCAAAAAAATGCCTACAATAATTTGATGTGAATTTCATCAAGCAGTACCCTTTGGTGGGTGGTTGAGTTCGTCGTAACATAACCAGCACAGCTCAAGACCGCAAATAATACAGCAGTAATGAGCATTTAAAATCGAGCAATTACAAACATCACATATCTGATTGCAATTAAACGAATGGCTAAAAAACACTCCATCCGCTGAAATAAACGTGCACGGTAATATTTTCACCACCTTAAATAAAAACCCCTTTTAAAGGAATATTTACGAGCCGCATAGAATTTAGCCATACCTGAACGGTCCCGCTGCAAAATCTGATCTTCCCGTCGAACAATTTTTTCAAACTCAGAACGAACACACTGTAAAATATACGCAGCAAAATGAGCGTCCCTTCGAGTGAATCTCAGGCTGCGTAACTCTAAAAAATGATAATGTTGGTGATATAAAATCCTAAGTTTAAAATAATTGACGTGTAATATACTGTTATTCATATATGATATAATACAACAAACGTTTTGAAGATCGTGTAACACGCCTTCGTCCGTTAACCGCATTTGCTTTCCAAAAATCCTTCGTAATTACTGCACCTAATGTTGAAGCTTTTGCTTCATCAACAAAAAACCTTGCATCAGCAATAGTCAGGCGACGACACTCTTTCGGATTATTCACTGACCTTCTGCAAAAATGAAGTTTATCATGGTGCTTCATTCTCCATACCTGATTTGTTGTCTAGGTTAGAACAATGACGAGCAGCTTTAAGGACTCCGGAAAGAATAGGGATAAGATGAATTGAAACAACTACAAACATCTGGCAGAGAGAAAACATTAGGAAAAGCTAACAACATCCTATTGTAAAATCTGCAGTCGCTTTTGTCCTTTCTATTTTTGTTAAGAGAACATATTAAACACGGGTTGTAATACTTCTCCGCGCAAGGCCCCTCCTGCAATAAACCCGAAATTATACTATAAAAAGTTTGTCAAGTAGGTTGTCCGTAAGGCGCTGAAAAAACTGCTTAGGGACAATAAAGCGTTTCCATACCTGCAACCGCCATCCTTTAAAGTTTTCACTACTCAAAATTAGGCTCCTAAAATCACGAGATTCCTTCGATTCTTTGACACGTTTTGATGCCTCTGCTTTCTGAGCACTAATACCGTCTAAAAATTCAGCAATTTTTCCAGAAGAAACGTACAATATCGATGTAAAAATCCTGTGTTAAAATTTTTACAACAATTAATTCAACCAATTACTATAAATCAACATTTCAAATATTTGCAGATGTGACCAACAAATTCTCTCCACTTGAAAATATAGGGTTTTAAAGATGATGAGTACCACCAAACACTTTCAGAAGTGCATTAAATGTTACCTGCCGAAATGGACGTTTCACATTCCTCGTTTCGAGATAACAACGAAGCGCTTGTGGGTTGCTTTTCAAAGTATGCAAACGGCAACTCTTCAGCACAATCTACCTCTAGTTTCGCTTTCTTTACTGGTTCAATATTTTCATCTTCTAAAGAATGGGCTTCTGATTTACCGCTTGTGTCTTTTTCCGCACTACATATAGGGTTAGCTTCTGTAATACTGCCACCCTCTGCACTAAACGACAAGAATTTTTGTTCAAAGAAAATTATGTTAACAATATCAGTGAAGAGAAAAATATATAATAACACAATATTATATGGCCGTACAGCAACTAAAAAACACATAAGGCATACATTGAATTAGAGCGGAAACACTTACCGATTCTCCGCGGCAGAAGTTTCCTCCATAGAACTGTAATGGCGAGTCTATCCAATAATCCAATACTGAAGCGATTACCTAAAAAACTGAGAAAGAAATTAATAAGTTCATGAGGTATGTTTCAATAACGTCTAATACAGTTAATGGCAATTTCACAAGACACTAAATTTACAGCCAATCGTAATGACTACTGTCAATCCAAAGAATTTGTTGGTAAATGGTGAAGAAAATGTAATACGTTCCCTTAGTACGTGAATGACCAAAAAATAGAAAAAAAGTTAAAATATATATAAATAAACAAACATTCAGCTTAATAAATAAGTAAACAAGTAAATAAATAAATAAATACATAGATAAATAAATTAACAAATAAATAAATAGCCAAATAAACAATTAAATAAATTGAACAGTGATAATGTTTATAAAAGCGATCAATTTTTGTTGGCTTCCCCCTTGTGTTTCCTTTCCCTTTCTTGCTTTTTTCCCCTCATTTCAATTTTTGGGAGCAATTTCTCAAAAAGAAATTTTTTTTCAAAAAACCCTTTTATCCCTTAACATATAAAAACTAGAAAAAAAAAAGGATCTAGCCAATTGTAACAATCTAGGTGATAGCCTAAACAGTGATCAAACTGTTGCCGAAATATTCAAATTAACATTAATGTTAGTCCGTGCTAATATATATTTCTGTACTTTACCAGGTATATTTCACTGCAGAAACACAAACTTCAAGCTATATTCGTACAATATCAGGAAAACACTAAGCTATCTAGTTGTTGGTTTTTCCGACAATCCTTCATAAAACCAACACCACTATACTACATCCACTGTCCTTAACGAAGCTATTAAAGGTTAAAAATAACTGGACCGACGAGGAGGAGGTGACACCAAAATTCCAGTTCTGTTATGTTTACTACATCCGGTCCCTTCGCACAGTGCACTTTATGATTCTTGGCGCGAAGAGAAAAAGCCGAAGCCGGCAAGATGCCAGTTTATTTTGGAATTAATCTGCAACAGCATCCGTTTTTTTTTTAAATACATTATTAAGTAGTAAATAGTTCAGTGTCGTCTAAGTGTTTTTTTTCTAGTTTACACGAAATGTTCCATATGATTTGTGATCAAAAAGTAAAAACTTTAGCTAGTTTTTGTGCAGAAACGACTTTATCTTTTCAGTCAGTGCGTAACTGCGCAGGACGTAAGAAATGAGCGAAGCTATGTGAATTCCTTCATTAATAAAGCATTGAGTTAAGTTTTTGCTTCCATTTATTCTCCATATTCATATACAACTCTATATTGCTATATTTGGGGCACAAACTTTTTCCTACCTTTTGATTTATCAGTCTGGATCTTTCCCAGAATTACTTTTTTGCCGTTTAAGTCGCGTTCTTTGTTGACCCATGAAAAACGGGGTAGTGCGTAGTTTTGAACTACTGAAGTAATCTTGAAAGCCTTACAAAATAAACTTTTCAGCTGTGGAAGCAGACGATATGGATTTTCATTAAGTTCTGCGAAGAATGGAGTTATTTCTATGAGTCCTTGTGTACGTGATAAAAGGACTAAAAATTTGCGTTTCATTGACTTAGTAACTATGGATTTGGGAGTACAGTTACTTGAAAATACGAAGTAAAATTAAAAAAAGCACGTAGCCTGTGATTATAAAAAGTGATAAAGTTGAAAACTTGTCTAAATTTTCGATGCTCAGCATTGGAGAAATGAGTGTAAATGTGGCACCTAATTCTACATCTATTATTCTTTTTGAGGAACCTCCAAAGAAAGAGGGGAGAGCAAAACTTTTAATCAGGTATTCTTAGAAGTAAAATGAGGATGCTATAAAATAAGTGAACTTAATTAGTTCTTGGTTCCTTTTACCTGGAACAGAGCATCAGTGATACCTGTGAATCAAGAACATCGGCGTCTATTAGGTGCTGTTTCCACTACCTGCGGTAATCGAAATAATGCAAAATTCGTACTTCAATTTGATACTCGAAGGAAATAAGTCAGTAGGTGATGGGACCCATATAAAGAGTCAAGCTAAAAAGTGATTTCGCTGGCGCCCTTCGGCTTGGTCATTTCATCACTCGTTCGTTCCACCTTTTACCCTTTCTCACTCTACTTATGTCTGTCCTAGGAAAAATTCAATTGGACAGAAGCGTTCAAAAGATTGGGGTGAAAGCCGACAGGGTGCAAATTGCCAAAACAGCAAAGTTGCAAAGAAAACTGGAAGCAACTGGATGGAGGTCTAAGGTATTTCAAAAGTTATTTAAAGTAAAGTGGTAAAATTTTGCTAGTTGAGCAGACTGTAAATAAAGGGTTTAATAAAACAAGAAACACTGCGTTTTTTCAATCAGAAATCGTCAGTAAAAAGGACTCAACTATGCGCACAACGAGTTAAAACACGGATGAAATACTTAGCACAAATTTTTTAGTGTAACTTGATACGAAAAATTGTTGTATCAGTGTAAATGACTAGTGCGGAAGAACCCCATTTTTTGTAAATTGTTTTGCCTCGTTTTATTTTTACTGCCTGGTTTAGGATGTGAAGAAGACAGCAAAATTTAAAGATATTACCATGAAAGGAACAGTGAGAGAAAAAGGTCAATTTTTACGTCTGTAAAGGCCGAAGACCCTCTGCGACTTACTTTGATTATAAGGTTGAGCTTATTCTATAAGGAGTAGCCGTCAACAGTGACGCAAAAATGTTCGTACTGAAAAAAGCTTTTGGTTGTCATCTAAATCGAAGAAAATGGGTCTACTGTTTTAATAAAATTTTAGAGATGCAAGTATTATTCGCCACATTGCTGGGCGAAAAGAAAAATTTTTTTGAATACTAAATAAGATAGCGAGACGAAAATAAACGATCTAAATACTACATTGCTTGCCGCGTATGAGAAGAATTCGAATTTTATCGACAATCATTTACAGGTTTCTATTTGCACTAATTTTTGGGATGTTTTTTCGTGTTAAATAACCTTTAAAGGAAAGTGGAGGGAGCCGAAAACTTGATAATTAAGTAACTTTTATCGTTTTTCCTGTATTGCTTTGTGATTTTTCACAGCTTATTCATGGTATTCCAATCCTCTACGGTGAGTTCAACGAAATAATTTGTGAATAGGTGAATTAATAAGAATGGAAAGCAGTAATATATATTTGAAAAAAAAAACGCTTTATTAACCTATCTTCTGCTTTTCTTCAATGCCTTCAAGTTCTCCTTGTGAACGCAAGTTGAATAAACACCACTCACGGTGTTCAAACCTCTTTTTTAAAAAAAGTTATTGCTTCTTCCAATTTAAACAGTGTAGTTATTCATAGTTACGGTGGAGAAAACGGCAGCTTATTTTTATTAGGAATATTTGCATTGCCGATCGCTTTCAATAGTCGTAAAAACGATGGACGTACGCTTGCAAAATTCTTGATGCTGCGAGACTGAACAGTTGACCGGGCTTTAAAAATTGCTAGAACCGTACTTAGACTGATGAAGGGCTCAACAATTAGGTGCTAGGAACTTGAAGAATTTGGCTGATTTCACGCTAATAAGTTGTGGTTCTCTAAAGCTAGCTAAACAATAACGAGTCTAAGTTAGGCTGCTGTTTACGTTGCGGAGCCAAACTTAAAATTTTTTATCGACTTTGGCAGGTCATATTGTTGCAAAATCTACCATTTTTCTCTGTGCACCCTCGATGATATTTTTGCGATATGAAATGATAGTATCTATTTTTTTTTTTTCACCATAACTTGTTAGATAAATAATTGTATATTGCATTTCATGATACTACTCAAAATAAATTGGGACCAAAGCCATAACTGGTTTTTCCAATTCAATTAATTGGTCACCTTTTAACACAAACTTTATTCTAACGACCTCTAAACAGAATATGCTCCAAACTGTTTCCGATATACCGAGAGTTGTCGCTTGTTTAAATGAAAGCTTTATTTCACTAAAAATGCCCAATGGGGATTATCTGCGCTTTGTTTCCCAAATTTACACTCATTTGGTTCTTGTTGAACGAAATGGAAATGGTTTTTTCAGATTATAGCTGTAAAAAATTTAGCTCATTCTCTTGAGTGTTTTAAGATTTGGCCAAATCCAGGTTTCACTTACAAATAAATTTCTTCCCTAAAACGTCTGATTTTAGTGTGCGCATAAATTAGTGCACCAATTACATATTATAGTTTATAAGTAGTGCTTCTTTGAAAGAGATTTTATGTGAAAATGTTACTTCTTGCTGAATTACTAATTTTCAAGCAGCTTTTGGACAAACAAGTTATGTTTCTTTGCGTGGTGTGCCTGGCCGTCACTAATTTCGGACAGTGCCTAAGAAGCGTCATGTTCAGAACAGCTTTTCGATAGTTTCTTAATACTTTTCTAACACGTTGGTGTAGAATTACAGCGTTGGTCGGGATGAAAACAGTGAGCCCTGCATAAAGTTTGCAAAGAGCCAGTAAAGTGTTTGAACATTTGTTGAGTTGACGGTTAAATTCCAGTCGTTTTTTTTTTTAATTTAACGCTTTGGACGACATTATTTTTTTGGCACATTACTTAAAACTATTCTTTATTCTACTGGAATTTCCAAATTCATATTTTTTTTTTCCGTTGGAGTCAATTGATTGCAACTTTCCGATAATGGAAATAGGGCGTCAGGTTGAGGAAAAATGAGCATTTTGATATCTTCTCTTTGTTTTGATAAAGTTTTTGAAGCAATAAAAATTGTTCGTGACATTTGTACTGATTACTGAGGTGGTAACGTAGCTGAAAAAGAGTTAGTGTGCTATGTTTAAATATAGAATTTTTGAGCTCAAAAATTTTCTCTCGTTTTGACAGCCCAGTAGAGTTTGACGCGCAGCAATCAGATCATCTTATGAACAAAAACTCGTATCAAATGAGAAGGGAACAGCGAGAGGAAATTGGCTTGATGAGAAGGGTTCAGGGCTGTGTAACTTGAGTCTCACGAGGTTTTAGCGACAACAGTAAAAATAAAATTTAAAGAAAATTGTTGTGATATAGCTGCCCAGCCTAACATGTTGATTATATGGTGTGCCACTTTAGTGTATTTGCGAAAAAATTGTTCGCCTATGTTTGATCCTACAATTATGAAGAATATTTACGGTTGGTGTTTGACAAATAAACAGCTGCTGGTAAGCTTTATGGAAATGAAGTGTTATTTTGAAAGTATTCATTAACAATACAAATTGATGCATAAAAATGATTGTTTCTGTTCGCTGTCTAATTATTATGCTAATAGTTGCAAACGCTTCGCTATTGCACGCTTGTATACACTCACTGGTGTTGTATAAATTTATTTAGTTTTGTTACAAGAGTGTCGCGAGGAGCAATCACCAGACGGTGAGTGGAAATAGGAAGTGGTAATTAAAGGTAAGAATTTAGCATGGAACAGTCTCTACCTCTAGACGGATCTCATGAAACACCAGACAGCTAACACCGAGATGGAGCCAAGCTAAGGAACTGTTAAATGCTTACAAGCGAAAAAAAATGAGGAAAATGAGTTTTTTACTTTTTCGAGAGAAAAAAAAAACTTCAATTGTCCTTGCTGTGTCCTGGTTATGATTATAGCTTCTCAATAAGAAGACTAATTGTGGATTGTTTCATGAATCTTTCGAGTGTCAAAAGTTGTTGCTAAAATTTTTTATAGTGCCGTGAGGAAACACTAGTCAATTATTAACCATTCGTCACGATGTTCGACCCTTTCAGCACAAAGCAGAATATGGCGGTATATCATTCGGGCACAAAGCGTCAAAGCTCTAAATTGTTTTGCTCTTTGAAGGAATCAACAGGAAAAAGTGTACATTCAGCTCTTTGACGAATTGAAAGAATTAGAAGCGCAACCAACATGGGTCCTGAACCAGCTTATTAAAAAAAATATCGCCTGGCAAGATATTAATGCTGGTCACTCCGGTGCGGAAAAGCTGGTAGAACAAAAATTGCACGATGAAATGTTGCAGAAACCAGTAAATCTCTTAAACGATGTTGATGCGGCCAGTGAATAATTGATACACCTGCAACTATTTTGAAACAGTTTGCATTAGCAGGGACAGCAGCTCGGAATGCAGTCTACTACTCAACTTCATGCAAGTTCGCAGTCGTCTGCTTCGCAGTCATGGCTGACAGAAATTGCTACGGACAGCCAGCGTTCGACTCCTGCCGAGAGGCAACTGCATTTCAGGTCACAGGATCCAGAACTGCCGCCACTGAAAATGCCGTAGTTTTCCCGCAATTTAAAAATTGGCTTATCTGTCGGAACATGTTTTAGGAATTAGTTCGTATTACGACGACGCCCAAAATAAAAAGGGTGTAGTACTTGTGCGAGACACTGTCAGGTCTTCCAAATATTTATGTGCTAATCTGGCCAAGCGACCTGAAATTATGTGGGAGTCGTCGAATTTTAAAAGATGCATACAAACACAACCATTTTATTAGAGCGCTCTTCCATCGTGGCTTCCAGACTACTCTGCCGATCACAGAAACCAGTTGACGCAATCACAGTGCAAACTGAGATCAGTCCTTCGTCAATTAGAAGTTCCCCTTGAGACAGTGGAGCTTAACCGATACAATAGCACAGTTACGGTGTTTATCATTGGTGAATGGCTTATTACATCAACATAACCTAATTTTATTTTCTTCCAATTCTTTTGGAAAAATAATAACGCTTTTTGTTTTTTATACT